GGTCGCGCCCTCGGCAGAGCAGCCAGAGGTGGGTGGCACCAGGTGGCACCAGGTGGATTTTCACTCCTGCTCCTGCTGCGGGGGCTGAGAGGGGGATTCAGGCGCTTGGAGAGACCCCTGTCCTTGTCACACCCCAGTGCGACCCCACGGCCTCCCCCAGCAGGGCTTCCCATGTCCCCTCCCCGCAGCCCCCAGGGACAGGCGGGGCTCAGGTGCCACCCCCTCCCGGTGTCCCCTCCCCGCAGCCCCCAGGGACGCGCGGTGGCCCCGCGGGCTCGGTGCCCACCTGGGCAGGGCCCGGCGCTGCAGGGCCGCCGCTCGGTGGCCTTGCCGCGACACCGGAGCTCCCGGAGCGGGGCCGGGCTGCGGGAGCTGCGGCAGCGCCGGGAGCGGCTCTGCGAGCCCCGCGTGCCGCAGGCGCTGCGCGAGCAGGGGCTCCACGGGGACCAGTGCGACCAGTAAACGTCATCTGCGGGGACACCTGAGTGACTGCGGAGCACGGGCTGGGGACGGCAGCCAAGGGGTTAAAAGGGGAAGAAACGGCCCCGTCCCACAGCCCAGGTGGGACACAGGTGAGGTGAGGATGGGACATGGGTGTGACGCAGGTGGGACAAAACTGAGATAAAGGTGTGACACAGGTGTGGCAGGAGGGGTTCAGAGGAGATACAGCTGTGCCCCAGCTGTGGCCCAGCTGTGGCCCAGCTGTGGCCCAGCTGTGCCAGAGGTGCAATACAGGTGTGACAGGTGAGATAGAGGTGACACACAGGTGTGACAGAAGTGACACACAGCTGTGCCAGGTGTGACAGGTGACACACATCTGTGCCAGCTGCCCCAGGTCCCCCCAGCTGCCCCCCAGACCCCCCCCAGGTGCCCCCGGTGCCCGGCTCACCCCGCGGGCACAGGAAGCGCACGTGGTAGTTGGCGCAGGCGGTGCCCGCCGGCTGCTCGCGGTGCAGGCAGCGGAAGCCGTGCCCGGGGCTGGCATGGACCACCTGGCCCAGGGCCGCAGGCAGCTGCCAGCCCGTGCTGCGCGCCTCGATGGCCACGGGCCGGGGGCACACGCGGTCCCCGTAGTAGAACCTGATGGCCGCCAGGCTCTCGTGGTCACCGTCCCCACCAGGGTGGTCGATGTTGAACCACGACGTCCACACGGCGCCTTTGCCTGAGGGGGAGGCGGGGACGGCTTGGGGACAGCTGGGGACACCTTGGGGTGATTGGGGACAGCATGGGGACAGCATGGGACAATTGGGAACAGCTTGGGGACAGGTTGGGATGGTTGGGTACAGCTTGGGGACAGCTTGGGGATGGGTTGGGGATGGTTGGGGACAGCTTGGGGACAGCTTGGGGATGGGTTGGGGATGGTTGGGGACAGCTTGGGGACAGCTTGGGGATGGTTGGGAACAGCTTGGGGACAGCTTGGGGATAGGTTGGGATGGTTGGGGACGGCTTGGGGACAGCTTGGGGACAGCTGGGGATGGTTTGGGATGGGTTGGGGATCACTGGAGATGGGTTGGGATGGTTGGGGACAGCCTGGGGACACGAAGGGCAGAGGATGTGCGGATGGAGGGTCACCACTGAGGGGTGGCCCCCAGGGCCCCTGGGGACATTGCAGAGGACACGGTGGCCCTCGGGGTGGCACCTGCCGTGCCCAGGTCCAGCTCCTCCAGCTCGGCCGTGCCTTTCCGGGGCTTCCCGGCCATGCCAGCCTTGCCCGGCTCCGAGTCGTTCTCCAGTGGCTCTGGGGGCACAGGGGTGGCACTGCCACATTCCCGGGTCCCTCCCCAGCCCCGTCCCCTGCCCTGAGAGCCCAGTCCTGGGGGACAGCAGTTACTGTGTCCCCAAGGCCAGGTTGGGGTGTCACCGGGGTGGGCGTGGTGTCCTGGCAGCCAGGGGTGACCCAAGGGTGGCTCCACCCCCTCCCCCCCTTCATTGCCACTGGGAATCCCAAAACCCCGGTGGCACAAAAACCCCAAATTCCAAACCCCAAGAAAACCCCAAACCCCAAACCTCAAACCCAACCCCCAAACCTCAACTCCAAAACCCTCAAACCCCAAACCCCAAATGCCAATCCCAAGCAAATCCCAACCCCCATGCCTCAAACCCCAATCCCAAAACCCCAAACAAACCCCAAACCCCAAGCCCAGTTCCCAATTCCCAATCCCAAACCCAACTCCCGAACCCTAACCCCAAAAAAATCCCAAACCCCAAATCCTCACCCCAAACAAACCCCAAACCCCAACCCCAGCTCTCAATTCCCAATCCTAATCCCAAATCCAAATCCCCAACTCCCAATCCCAACCGCAAACAAACCCCAATCCCAAACCCCAACCCCAAAAAAATCCCAAACCCCAAACAAACCCCAAACCCCAACCCCAGCTCCCAATCCCAACCCCAAACCCAAACCCGCAACCCCAAAAGAATCCCGAACCCCAACCCCAAACAAACCCCAGACTCCCACCCCAGCTCCCAATTCCCAAACCCCCAACCCCAAAAGACAAACCGCAAACAACTTCCAAACCACAACCCCAAACAAACCCCAAACCCATGCCCCCCGTCCCCGCCGTGCCCGCCGTGCCCGGCGCTCCGCGGGCGGTGCCGCCCCGGCCGCTCCGCCGCCGCTTTTATCGGTGCCGGCCCCGGGGCCGCTCCCGGAGCCGCCGCGGGCGCGGAGCCCGCCCGGGCCCGAGCCCAGCGCTAAAATTGGACGGGGAATGCGGGGAGGGAGGGAAGGGAAACAAAAACACGCGGGGAGGGAAAACACGGGGGATGAAAAGGAAAAGGTGCGGGGGAATAATGAAAGGTGCGGGGGAAAGGAAATACGGGGGGATAAAATGTGGGAGGAATAAAATAAGGGGAAAATAAAAATATGGGGAAAATAAAAATATGGGAAAAATATTCCCAAACCCCCAACCCCAAAAGACAAACCGCAAACAACTTCCAAACCACAACCCCAAACAAACCCCAAACCCCAACCCCAAACCCCAACCCCGATCCCAATCCCTTACCTGCTGCCCTGGCCGTGTGTGGGACTCCCAGTGCCGCCAGCACCGCCAGCAGTGCCAGCAGCCGTGCCAACGGTGCCACCCGTGCCAACGGTGCCACCCGTGACACCCTTGCCATCTGTGCCATCCGTGCCACCTGTGACACCCGTGCCAACTGTGCTGGCCGTGCCATCCGTGCCATCTGTACCAGCAGTGCCACCCGTGCCAGCGGTGCCCACGGTGCCACCTGTGCCAGCCCTGCCACCCGTTCTACTGTGCCCCCCGTGCCACCCGTGCCCGCCGAAAGGTGCGGGGGAATAATGAAAGGTGCGGGGGAAAGGAAATACGGGGGGATAAAATGTGGGAGGAATAAAATAAGGGGAAAATAAAAATATGGGGAAAATAAAAATATGGGAAAAATAAAAAATATGGGAAAAATAAAAATATGGGGGAAAATAAAAATATGGGGGAAAATAAAAATATGGGGGAAATAAAATAAGGGGGAAATAAAATTACAGGGAAAATAAAAATACAGGGAAAAGAAAACGTAAAAATGACGAGAAAAAGAAAAAATACAGGAAAAATAAAAATACAGGGAAAAATAAAACCTAAAAACACGGGGAAAATAAACCCACGAGGAAAACAAAACTGTAGGAAAAGGGAAAAGAAGGAGCCGATGCCGCTCCGAGGGCTTGGAGGGGACTGGGATGGACTGGGGGGCACCGGGGGCACCGGGAGGGCACCGGGGGCATTCAGGGGCACCGGGGCACCGGGGCTTTGGGATGAGCGGCCCCGGGAGCGGCGGAAATCCCGGCGCATTCCCGGCATTCCGGCGGCTCCGAGCGCCCCCCGGGCCGGGGCAGCGCCGGGGCTGCGCGGGGACGCGGGGGACAGACCCGGGGACACAGGGACAGACCCGAGGACACAGGGACAGACCCGGGGACACAGGGACAGACCCGAGGACAGAGGGACAGACCCGGGGGACAGAGCCGGGGACAGAGGGACAGACCTGCGGACACGGGGGACAGACCCGGGGGACAGACCCGAGGACACGGGGGACACGGGGGACAGTGTCTGGGGGACACAGAGGACATGGGGGACACAGGGGGCAGAGCCGGGGGACAGACCCGGGGACACATGGGACAGTCCCCAGGGGTGGCTCGCCACCTTTAGGGACACCCCTGTGCTCTGGGGATGGCTCCCGTGTCCCTTTCCTGGGTTTTTGTGGGATTTTTGTGGGGTTTTGGTGGGGTTTTGGTGGCATTTCGGTGGCATTCCGGCCGCATGGGACCCCGGCGGTGGCACTGTCCCCGTGGGCGGGTGGCAGGGGAGGTGACACGGCTCTGTCCCCCGCAGCGGGGTGCTGGCACTGCCGGGGGGTCAGGCCGGGTCCCCGAGCCTTGAAGTGAGGCTCAGGACAAGTCCCCAAGTGTGCCCCGCTGTCCCCATGTCCAAACTGCCCTCGCTGAGGGGGTCCCGGGGCCACCAGGGGTTTGTTTTGGGGTCACAGGCGTTTTTTGGGGTCACAGGACTGCCACTGCTTTATTTGGGGTTCCAGAGACAGCAGAGGGTTTCTTTAGGGTCCCAGGGGTTTATTTTGGGGTCCCAGGGTTTATTTTGGGGTCCCAGGGCCACCAGGGCTTTATTTCAGGGGTCCCAGGGCCAGAAAGGGTTTTTTGGGGTCCCAGGAGTTTCTCTGGAGTCCCAGGGGTATTTTGTGGTGGTCACAGGGCCACCACCAGGGGCTTTGGGGTCCCAGGGCTTTATTTGGGGTCCCGGAGGTTTTGGGGGGTCCCAGGTGTTTATTTTGGGGTCCAAGGTGTTTTTTGGGGTCACAGGGGTTTTGGGGTCACAGGGGTTTTGGGGTCCCAGGAGTTTTTTGGGGTCCCAAGTGTTTATTTTGGGGTCCCAGGGGTTAATTTTTGGGGTCCCAGGTGTTTATTTTGGGGTCCCGGGGTTTATTTGGGGTCCCAGGTGTGTTTTGGGGTCCCAGGTGTGTTTTGGGGTCCCAGGGGTTTATTTTGGGGTCCCAGGTGTGTTTTGGGGTCCCAGGAGTGTTTTGGGGTCCCAGGGGTTTATTTTGGGGTCCCAGGAGTGTTTTGGGGTCCCAGGAGTGTTTTGGGGTCACAGGGCCACCACGCAGTCGCTGCCCGGGTACTGGCGGGGGCCGATCCCGAATTTCCGCCGCAGCTCCTCGGGCACGAAGCGCCCGGCCAGGAAATGTCGCCGTCCCTGGAAGCGCCGCGCCACCTCCTTGGGGGCCGCCAGCGACACCAGCACGTCCGGCCGGATGTCACCGCTGCCACCAGCCCCGGCTGCCCAGCCTGCCAGGGGGACACGGTCACCGGGACAGCGGGGACACCCGGGGGACACGGGGAGGGACAGCGGGGACACCCGGGGGACACCCGGGGGACACATGGCACCCTTGGGGACACACGGGTGGCTCAGGGGTGGCGCGGGGGTCCCGCTGCTGCCGTGGAGGGGACAGGGGGGGACAGGGAGGGGACAGGGAGGGGACAGGGAGCGCACGGGCGGGCGCGGTTTTGTCCCCGCGGGATGCACCCCGGGGGGGTGACACGGCCAGGCCGGGGGAAGGGACACGGGCGATGACAACGCCAGGCCTGGCCAGCAGGGAATGCCATCTGGGAATGCCATCTGCCGGTGACGTCACGTCTGGGCCGGGCACTTTGTTGTTCCCCGGGGATGTCCCCAACCCGCCAGGGCCACCGCGGGGGGCACCGGGGGGACACCGGGGGGACACCGCCACGGGTGACAGCGGTGACAGCGACGCGGGTGACACCGAGGGGACGCGGGGGGCACCTGAGGGGACATCCAGGCTGACGATGGGGATGCGGACGTGCTTGAGGGTGGCCAGGATGGCCGCGCACGGCTCTGTCCCCTCGGCCACCTCGGCTCCCAGCACCGCGTCCACCACGGCGTTGTAGGCGTCGTTGATGAGCTGCACCTGCAGGCGACAGCGACATTTGGGGTGGCCCCGCGTCACCTGTGACGGGACAAACCCCCGGCGGCGCCAAAAATAAAAAATATAAATATATAAATGAAATATATAAAATATATAAAATAAAAGTATAAAAATAAAAATAAAAATAAAAATAAAAATAAAAATAAAAATAAAAATAAAAATAAAAATAAAAATAAAAATCAATCCTAAAAAAAAAGTTTAAAAATAAAAATAAAAATAAAAATAAAAATAAAAATAAAAATAAAAATAAAAATAAAAATAAAAATAAAAATCAATCCCCCCCAAGTGGAGCAGAGTGAGGGAGGGGCCACGGAGTCGAGCCCGGCACGCCGAGACGCTCAGGCCGCGCCAGGACAGCGAATTTTGGGTCAAATTCCTCCGTTCCCAGCGCTGGGAGCTTCCAAAAATAACAGAGCCGGTGGCTGCGGGCAGCAGGCGCTGGATTTTCTGGATTTTCTGGATTTTATGGCATCCCCGGGATCCCAGCAGCGCCGGGATGGGGCGGGGAGAGGGGGAGAGGGAGGGGACAGAGGGAGAAAAGCAGAGCCGGGGGTTTGGGGGAATTTTGGGGGATTTTAGGGTTCGGGGAGGGGAAAAGGGAGGGAAAAGAGGGAGAAATCTGTGAGATCGGGCAGGGGGATTTTAGAGAGTGGGGAGGGGAAAAAAGAGAAGGAAAAAAGGGACAAGCAGTGGGATTTGGGGTTTGGAGAGGGGAAAAGGGAAGGAGGAGTGGGATACACAGGGGGATTTCAAGGGAAGGATAAAGGGAAGGATGAGGGGGCTCGGGGGTTCACGGGGAAAGGGAAGGAAAAGGGGACAATCAGAGGAATTTGGGGGTTCACAGGGGCAAAGGAAGCACAGGGGGGACAATCCCGGGGGTTTGGGGGTTCACAGGGACAAAGGAAGGACAGGGGGGACAATCCCGGGGGTTTGGGGCTGGGGGCACCTCGGCGGGCAGGTAGGACAGGAAGGGGATGTCCATCTTCTCGCACTGCGTGGTGAAGTCGCGGTGCAGCGGGTCCGGGGAGCGCTTGGGGTAGAAGATGGTGGGCTCGTAATCCTGCGGGGAAACGGGAGCGCTGCGGCCGGGGCCCCCGGGAGGAAGGCCGGAGGAGGAGGAGGAGGAGGGCGGGGGCCGAGGTACCCACAAAGCTGCGCAGGTGGCGGGCGCACACCAGCCCGATGGCCCCGTGCTGCGCCGGCCCGCACGCCACCAGCAGCGTGGGCTGCCTGCGCCGCAGCGACAGCAGCGGGAACGCCTGCGGGGACAGCAACAGGGACACGGTCACACGGGGACAGGGACAGCAACAGGGACACAGTCACACGGGGACAGGGACAGCGACAGGGACACGGTCACAGGGACGGGGACAGCGACAGGGACACGGTCACAGGGACAGCAACAGGGACACGGTCACACGGGGACAGGGACAGCGACAGGGACACGGTCACACGGGACAGGGACAGCGTCACACGGGACAGGGACAGTGGGGACACTGTCACTCGGAGGGGAGAGGGGACACAGCGGGGACAGGGGGACACCAGGGTGGCACTGTCACACTGCAGGGACAGCGGGGATGGCCCAGTGTCACCCAGGGACATGCCAGGGGGAGCAGGGGAAAGGCTGTGGGGACATGGGGATGTCACAGCGGCTCTGGCACACGGCACCCAGCGTGGGATGGATGGAGGTGGCACATGGAGCAGGACGGGCACGGCACGGCACGGCACGGCAGGGAATGGCACGGCACGGCAGGACTTGGGCAGCACTCGGAGTGCGATGGAACAGGGGCCGCACTGGGATGAGGATGGTGCCCGTGGTGGGATGAAGATGATGCCCACGGGGGGATGAAGACGATGCCAGCGGTGGAGCTCCAGGGCGGGCTCAGGGAGATGCCCGGGTGGGATCGGGGCGGTGCCCACGGCGGGAGCAGGGGATGCCCCGGGGCCCCCCCATCCCGCCCGCTGCTCATTCCGGGACCGCGGGGCCGGGAGGGAGGCAGGGAGGGAGGGACGCTCTGTTTCTCCACTGACGGATTTTTTCCTGCTCGCGGATCCTGGCTCCGGGGCCCGTCCCCAGCGCCCGGAGCAGGGCACGGCCCCGGCAGCCCGGCCCTGGCCCCGGCCCAGCCGCCGGCACCTCCAGACAGCGGGGACAGCGCGGGGACAGCGCGGGGACAGCGCGGGGACAGCGCGGGGACAGCGCGGGGACAGCGCGGGGACACCCCGGCCGGCCGGGGGAGCGCAGCTGGGGTGGCCCTGAGGAAGAGGAGGATGCTGAGCCCCAGGTGGGGTCAGGGATGCTGCAACAGCTCCGGCACCAAAGCATTTCTGCTCCTGAGGCTGGAGCGAGGCTGGGAGCGGGGAAGGGCCGATGGAAAAGCTGAGGCGGGCCCGAGACACAAAGCTGCCCTTGATGGACCCCTGGCCCTCCTCCTCCTCCTCCTCCTCCTCCTCCTCCTCCTGCTCCTCACATCCCGCACGAGCCCCGGGCGATCCCCGCAGCAGCGACATCGCCAGGGCACGGGGACACCTGGGCACCTCTGGGGACCCGCCCCAACCCCCGGCAAGGGCTGGGCATCCCCCTCCCCGGGGACCCCAGCCCCTCTGGGTGTCCCCAGCCCCTCTGGTGCCCCCAGCCTCACCTTGGTGACAGCCACGGCACAGGCGTGTCCCCAGATCTCGATCAGCTGCTGCCGCCCGAAGCGATAATCCTCCAGCAGCTCCTTCTCCATGGCCTCCGCCTCCGCCTGGCTGCCTTGGGGACAGTCACGCTCAGGACAGGGGGACAGAGCTGTCCCCACGGCCCCGCGAGGGTTCGGGACCCTGCTCCACTTTGGGACACGCTGGGGGCTCGGGGTGGGCACCGCGGTGGGGACGGGCACGGCTGCACACGGATGTCACACGGATGTCACACAGATGTCGCACGGATGTCACACGGATGTCGCACGGGGGGACCGTGACCCCACGGGCCGGGCCAGGAGCGGCGCCCGGCCGAGCTGGCGGAGGCCCCGGCTCCCCGGTTACATAAAAGCGAACAAAGCCGCGGTTGTTCCGCCGCCGCCGAGCCCGGAGCTGGCAGCGCCCAGCGCGACAATAATTGCTCACATCTGTTGGCTTCACCTGCGCGGGCGGAGCGGCCTGGGCCGCCTCCAGCGCCGCCGGGAGGGAAACCGAGCCCCGCCGGGCCGGGATCCCGGCGGTACCGGGGGATCCAGACCCCGCCGTACCCCGGGTTTGGGGGGAACCGCTCAGGGAGGGGACCCGGCACTGCCAGGGGGCAGCAGAGGGGGCCGGGTTGGGGTCCCGGGTTGGGGTCCCAGGCTGCAGGGTGCTCCCGTCCCATCCAGGCTTTCCCCACGGACCAGCCATGTCCTGCAGAGCCCAAAATATCCCTTGGTCCTTCCAGCAGGGCCCCAGCAAGATCCTGGTTCCCCCATTCCCACATCCCATCCCTTGGCTGTCCTGAGAAACCTGCCAGGAAAAGTTCATCCCGTCCCAAATTCCCATCCCGCATTCCCCAGTTCCCATCCCAAATTCCCATCCCAAATTCCCATCCCTGTCCCCAGTCCTTTGGTGCCCTCTAGCGAGTCCCAGCCCTGTCCCAGCCCCACACCGGGGACTCTGGGGAGAAGATCGGGGCGGAAGGGGTGGGAAGGGACCGAGCGGTGCCCGGAGCCCCTCCCGTGGCCGGGGGTGGCCGGGCCCAGCTGTGTTTGTTGTCCCTCGCTGCGTTCCCGGAGCGCATTGTCCCCAATCGCTGCTGGCAGGGACGCTCCTGGCCCCGGCCCCGCGGGGCTGGCACCGGCCCCGGGCGCGGACACGGCCGGGGGCTCCCCGGGAGCTGCGGCCCCACCCCTGGAACGATCCGGGGCCCGCATCCCGGTCCCGCATCCCGGTCCCGCATCCCGGTCCCGCATCCCGGTCCCGCATCCCGGTCCCGTTCCGCTCCCTCCCGGCACAGCGCGGACGTGGGACCCTCCCGTCCCCGCCGCGTGTCCCCGCTGTCCCCGCCGTTCCCGGTGTCCCCATCCCGGCTCCCGCGGGTCCCCGCGCTCCCCTCCCGCCGCCTCCCGGAGCATCCCCGCCGCAGCCATGGAGACCCGGGATGCGGTTGCTCCGGCAACGGCGGCTCCGTGGGTACGGACCCCCTCCCCAGGGGACACGCGTGGGGACCGGGACCCCGCCCGGGGGTCCCGCGGGCAGCGCGCGGGGCAGGGGGAGGTCCCGTTCCACCCCCGCGGGGTCCCGGCGCTGGGAACGGGGCCCGGCCCGGGGCAGCCCCGCCCGGAGCTGCCGGGGGCTGCTCGGGGGGACCCCGGGGCTCACCTCAGGTACCGGGGCGGCTCCCGGGAGGGGCAGGGCGCGGAGCTCATGGCGGGGAGCGGGACCGGAGCGGCGGCGGAACCGAACCGCGGCAGGAGCGGACCGGGAGCCGCACGGAGCCTCTGTCCGGAGCGGACCGGATCCGCTGGAACCCCCGCGGAGCCTCCGGGCGGAGCGGGTCCCCCGGGAATGCCGAGGATGCTCCGGGCGGAGCGGGTCCCCCGGGAATGCCGAGGATGCTCCGGTCAGAGCGGGTCCCCCGGGAATGCCGAGGATGCTCCGGGGCGCTCGGCGGTGCCGCCCGGGGGGAGGCGGCTCCGGTGCCCCCGCCCCGCTCCCGGCCCGGCCCCGCTCCGGGAATGCCGCCCGTGGTTCCCACCCGGGAATTCCAACCGGGCTGAACTCTGGGGTTAAATCCCCCCGGATCGGGGCTTTTCCAGCGGGATCCGCAGCCCTGGGAGCGGGGAGGGGATGAGGACATGGCCCCTCCCTCCCTCCCTCCATCCCGAATTCCCAGCCCGAGTTCCAGGAAAATCCCCCAGGAGCCGCCGAATTCCAGGGAGAGAGGGAGGAGTCCGGGAGCCACGGGGATCCCAATCCCAAAGGGGGGATCCCAATCCCAAAGGAGCATCCCCAGTTCCAAAGGGGGATCCCCCATCTCAAAGGGGGGTGATTCCACTCCCGAAAGGAGATCCCGATCCCAAAGGAGGGGATCCCAATCCCAGGAGATCCCAATCCCAAAGTGGAGAGATCCCCAGAGAGATCCCCAATCCCAAACCGGGGAGATCCCAATTCCCAGGGGCAATTCCAATCCCCAAAGGATTTATTTATTCATTGTTTATTTATTAATTACTAATGAGCATGAGTGGGAACAAGCTCGGGATGGGGGAATCAGCCTGGAGAGGGACAGGGAAGGGGGGGAAGCTCCAGAAGGAGCCGGGTTTGGGGTCTGGGCGGGGTTTGGGGTGGGGTTTGGGGTCTCAGACGTAGCTCTGCAGCCCGAACTTCTCGCGGTCCAGCTCGGCCGGCGGCCGCAGGAAGTAGAGCTCCTCCAGCGTGGGGGGCACCCAGCGCTCCGTGTGGAAGCGGGACTCGCCCACCTGCGGGGAGGGGAGGGAACGCTGGGAACGGGCTGGGAACGGGGCTGGGAATTGGTGGGAATGGGGCTGGGAATGGGGCTGGGAATTGTTGGGAATGGGGTGGGAATGGGGCTGGGAATGGGGCTGGGAATTGTTGGGAATGGGGCTGGGAATTGTTGGGAATGGGGCTGGGAATTGTTGGGAACGGGGCTGGGAACTGCTGGGAATGGTTCTGGGAACTGCTGGGAATGGGGTGGGAACTGCTGGGAATGGGGCTGGGAACGGGTCTGGGAATTGTTGGGAATGGGGCTGGGAATGGGGCTGGGAATGGTTCTGGGAACTGCTGGGAATGGGGCTGGGAATTGTTGGGAATGGGGCTGGGAATGGGGCCGGGAATGGGGCTGGGAATGGGGCTGGGAATGGTTCTGGGAACTGCTGGGAATGGGGCTGGGAATGGGGCTGGGAATGGAGCTGGGAGCTGCTGGGAATGGGGCTGGGAATGGAGCTCCTGGAGCCCAGGGGGAGGGGCAGGGGGACACTGCCAGCCCAGAGTGACCCTGAGCGCCGGGGGATCCCAAATCCCTGGGGATGGAGCCGCGGGGTCCCAGAGGGGAGCCCCCCGACCCCCAGAATCCAGAACCTTCCAGCCCGGAACGTCCCGCATGATCTTGGCCTCCTCGTCCAGGTTCTCCCGCAGCATCCGGAGCGTCCTGGGGACAGGGGCAGGGCAGGGACCCGGCACTGGGGGCACCCGGCCCCGGTTCCCAGCTCCCAAGGGGATCCCAGTCCCAAAGGAAGGTCCCTATCCCAAAGGGAATTCCCAGTCCCATAAAGGGGATCCCGGTCCCAAAGGGGGATCCCAAAGGCATTCCCAATCTCACAGGAAGTTCCCGATCCCGTAAAGGGGATCCTGATCCCAAAGGCAGTTCCCAGTCCCACACAGGGGGATCCCAAAGGCATTCCCAGTCCCACAGGACAGCTCCCAGTCCCCAGGGGATCCCGGGCTGTACCTGCGGTCTGACTCCGCCTGCAGCAGCGGCATCAGCGCGATGCGAGCCTCCAGCTCCTCGATCAGCAACCGCCTGCGGCGGGGACGGGGATGGGAATGGGAACGGGAATGGGAACGGGGAACGGGGCAATGGGAACGGGGCAATGGGAATGGGAACGGGGAATGGGAACGGGGACGGAGCACTGGGGGCACTGGGAATGGGGGACTGTGAGGGGCTGTCAGCACCGGGAAAGGAGCTGGAAGGAGGTGGGGGCTCTGGAAGTCCCGGGGGGGGGGCTCTGGGGGTCCCGGGGGGCTCTGGGGGTCCCCCAGCCGGAGCAGGACGCGCCCACCCCGGGCCAGCAGCGCGGGGAGCCGCGGGCTGGGGCCGGGGGTGGCCGCGGGGGCTCGGGGCGTCACCTGCGCTCGCGGTTCCACTTGACCAGGCTGTAGTAGCCGAGCAGGAGGCTCCCGACGCCGAGCGCCAGCAGGCTGTACCCTGCGGGCCGGGAGGGCGTGAGGGCCGCCGGGGGCGCACGGTCCTCGCGCCCCCGCGGCCCCCGCCGCGCTCACCTGAGAGGCCGCGGCGCGGGAGGTGCCGCCTGTAGTCGATGGGGCCGTACCCGCCCGGCGGGGCCATGTCCTGCTTCACCTTCGGCGCCGCCATTGCGGCGCTGCTCGCTGACGTCACTGCGCCGCGCCGCCCGCCCGCGCGCGGGAAACTCACGTGGGGCAGCTACGTCAGCGGTGATGCCACGCCCCCTAATTAAAGGGGCAACGCGCGCTTAAAAGGGCAATGCCACATCAATGCCTTGGGATCCTGTCCCGCCCAACGGGATCCTCCGATCCCGCGGGATCCTCTCCCATTCCTTGGGATCCTCTCCCATTCCTTGGGATCCTCTCAGATCCCGTGGGATCCTCTCCCATCCCTTGGGATCCTCTGATCCCTCGGGATCCTTTCAGACCCCGTGGGATCCTCTCCCATTCCTTGGGATCCTCCGATCCCGCGGGATCCTCTCCCCCTCAGACAAGATCCAGCAATTCCTTGGGATCATCTTCCAATCCAAAGGGATCCATCAATTCCTTGGGATCACCTCCCCTCACAGGGGATCCAGTCCTGACATTCCCCGGCAATCCCACATGAAAATGGGGCTGGAAAACCCCAAAAATTCCGGAATTTCCCCATCCCTCCAAGCTGGGCTCCACCCCCAGCGGGATCCATTCCCTGATCCCCTCTTTTCCCAGTCACCGGCGACCGGGAATTCGGGACAATTCCACGGGAATTCAGGAATTCCTGCACGGCCTTGGCTCTTCCCAAGCTCCAACAATGCGGATTTTTTACGGAATCATGAGAAAAATCCATCTGGGAATATCCTTGGCCCGTTCTCCTCGCGGGGGGAACGATCCAACGGCTCCGTGAGTTTTCCTGGAATGTTCAGGTGGAATCCAAGGGCGGGGAGCAGGAACTCCAGGTGGGAATGGAGAAGGCTCTGGATTCATGGATTTGCTCCGTCGGGATGCTCCATCCATGGAACTCCAGGGAAATCCACAACAATCCCAGGTTTTTGCCGCCTTCTCCCGTTTTCCCAATTTTTTTGGGAATAATCCTCAGGAGAGGAAGGAGCAGATCCGGCTCTGTCCGGGTGATCCACAATTCCATCCTGACCCCCAAAATCCTGGGAATATGAGGCAGATCCAGGAGTTCCTCTGTTTATTGTAATTTCAATTCCAACCCCCCAATTAATTATTTATTAATTATTAATTATCGATTCCAGATCCTTCCATTGGCAGGATTAGAGAGAATTATGGGATTTATTCTGGAATCTTTTGTGTCCCAACAAATCCAAGGGGAAAAAAATCCCACCCTGTTCCCCTTCCTTCCCAAAGGAGAGGGAAAAACGAGAAAAATGAGCCAGATTTGGGTTTTTCCCCAAAATCTCCCAGAATTTCCTCCACTTCACCCCTTCCTGCAGCCTGAATTCCCAGTTTTCCATCTGGGATTCAACTTTGGGAATTCAATTCCAATTCTTCCCCAAACAAAGGGGATAAGTGGCTGGGAGAATCCAGAGGTAAAGGAAGAATTCCCAAAATGAGGATAAAAATAGAATAAAACCCAATCCCGAATCAGCTGGAATTCTGGATTTCCTTTGTGTTCCCCAGGAATCCCTGGGATATAAAAAATTCAGGAATTCACTTTTTTTCCAAGCTGGGAGTGCTGAGGAAGAAGAACCTTGCATAGAAAAGAATTCCAACCCTTTTTTTCCCCTTTCTGTTCCACGGCGAAATTCCAAGTCTTGGAAGGAAATCCAAGAAAAACCACACGGCTGCCCCGGCTCCACCGCGGGAATTCTCCCATGAAAATCCGGGATCTTTTTATTTCACAAGTTGCTAAAGTCTAAATTACAACGGCGCTTCCTCGCTCTCCGCGGTGTCCGAGAAAATCCCAAAATCCCGGCGGCTCCGAGCGGGAATTTTATGGCTTTAGGGACCCCCTGGATCCGGAGCCCCCCGGAGCAGCTCATGCAGCGAATTCGGGAAGAGCGGGAAAAGGGATCCGGGATCCCGAGGGATCTGTGGGGAGGGAAGGGGTGGGGGTGGAACAGGAGATCGCTGGGACCTGGGAATCCCAAAGGCCTCAAGGATCTGGGAATCCCAAAGGGGATCCAGGAGATCTCAGGGATCTGGGAATCCCAAAGGCCTCAAGGATCTGGGAATCCCAAAGGGGATCCAGGAGATCTCAGGGATCTGGGAATCCCAAAAGGGATTCAAGGGCCTCAGGGATTTGGGATTGCCAAAGATCTCAAGAATTTGGGAATCCCAAAATGGATCCAACATTTGGATCTCAGGGATTCCCAAATCCCAAAGGGGATCCAATCAGAGAATCCCAAATTCCAAAGGGGATCCAGCAGCAGGAATAAAGCCAGGATTTGTTCCCAAATCCCCCCCTCCTCCACCATTCCCAAACATTTCCCTTCCAGGGCAGAATTCCACAATGGGAATTTTCAGTTTCATTGAGATTTTTTTCCCCCCATTTTTCCCTTTTTTTTTGTGGGGCTTTTTCCTGGAAAAAGGAGACTGGGAAGAGGTTTGGAAAATCTGTATTGAAGAGTTGGAACAACTTTGAACCTGAACCATCCCAATCCCAAAAAACCCCCACCAGAACTGGGACTGCGAAGGAAAAACCATCCCAGCATTCCAACATGGAATCTTTTCCCAGATTGATCCCAAATTTGGCAGAAACGTCGATGGAATAAAACAAATCCTCCAAATTCCCAGCAGCATTCCAAGAACATTCCAGAAAATCACATCAGAACCAGGCTGGATCCCAGGAGCCGCATTCCAGGTGGGGATTTGGAGTTCCAGCCCCATCCCATAAAATATTTTGGTTTTCCAGCCTCAATCCATGCTGGATTTTCCCTCCCCTTCCAAACAACTCTCCCCCCATCCCCCAAATAATTTTTTTGGGGATTTTTCCTGAATTACCCATCAAAAAAAAACCCAGGATGGAATATTTGGAAGTGTGGACACGGACACTTGTTTGGGTTTTTAATTCCAAATCCCTCAATTCCAACATTCCTGATTATTTTAATGAACCAAAACTGGCTGAAATTCCAATTTCCAAGGGAATTCTGCTGGGATCCAGAAAGTTGTGACATAATTTTTATCCCATTGAATCCTTCTGTGACTCTTCCATTCCCTGTTTTTTTTTCAGGAATCATCCAAACTCTGGGAATAAACAAACCAGGTTTTTCCCTGCCCACCCCGCCCCCCCAAAAAAAATTATTTTAATTGCAGGAATTTTGTTGGGATTTTTTTGGGGGAATAAATGAACTTTTTCCGAACATTGGCATCCATGAGGAAAAAAACCAGGAGAGGAAAATCCCCCCAAACCAACCCCAAAAATTTCCACGTGGGAAAGGAAGGGCAAGGTTTCCAGAAAACCCCATGGAACTGAAGGAATTCCGCATCATCCCTCTGCTGGCATCCTCCAATCCAAGCTTGGAATGAAAAGAAAACTCCAAATTCCAAAATTCCAACCCAATTCCCACATCTGAGCTCCTCGGAAAACACCCCAAAATCCGCATCCGGCTGGGGATTCCGGGGGTTTTCATCCAACAAATCCCAGTTTGGAAAATAAGGTTTTGTTTGTTTTTTTTTTCCCCTAAATTAAATCCCTAAATATGGAAACACCAGGAAAAGTGGGAAAAGGGAGGGGTTTTGTCCCTCGGGTCCGAGGGGGATGACCCCAAAGGGATTCTTGGCTTCAATGATTCCTAAGAAAAATAAATCCGGATTTTCCTGAATTTCCCCCCCCCAACATTTTTTTTTAATATATATAGATCTCTAAATTATATATATTTATAATTTCCCCAAGAAAATTCCCCAAATTTCCCAAAGAATTCTCCTCACTGGAATAAGGCCTGGAATTCTGCCCCTTGGATTCGTCTGGAATTCGGGAAGAAGCCCAAGGAGAAAGAGGATGAGAAACCAAAATGAAACCAAACTGGCCCCTGATGGATTTTGGGTTGAACCTCTGGAATTCCCAAAAAATTTATGGAAAACTCCATCCCAAATGGATACAGGAGCATGCTAGGGATGCCTGGAAGAACTCGAATCACGGAGGGAAGGATTGGGAACGGCCGGAATTCCCAGTGGGAATTGGGAACGGCTCCCAACCCTCCCTGCCTGCATCAGCTTCTGGAATTCCTATAAATTTTGGAATAATATCCCTCAAAACAACAACAGAAAAGGAAAGAAAAAAACCCCAACCCAACCAACCCTCCCAAAGGAAAAAAAATTCCCAAAAAGTTTCGCTTTGGAGTCTCTGGGAACTTTGGGAAGGCCCAAAATTCGCGGGATGAGAAAGAACCAAGGTGGATTTTGTCTCTCAGTAACTGCAAGGTTTGGAAACTACCAACGGTTCCGAAGTCTATTCCAACCAGAATCCAAGGAAAAAAGTGGGAATTTCCCGCAGCAATTCCCACCTCCCAGCCAAGGTTTGGGCGGCAGCCGATCCCGAAGGGCAAAAAACCAAACCAAACTCAACGGGAACCGGCGATTTGCACTTCTTCGTCTTCTTCTTCTTCTTCAGGGATCGTTGGGATTTTGGGAATCTCGGGGTGTGCCGCCTGCTTTCCCGGCTGGAGGAGGAGCAGGGAAAAGGAGCAGCCATGAACTCGGCTCACTAAACGCAGGATGGGGCTGGAATTCCTCTCTCCGTGCCCCAAAATTCCAGAATTCTGGAGCGTTCCCGGCAAAAAAAGTTCAGTGTCGGCAAAGGCAGAGAGGAGTCGCTGAGTCCTTTTGGGTTTGTTTTTTTGTGCTGGTGCCAAAAAAATTCCAAAACTAAATACGGAAAAAGCCAACAAAAAAAAAAATTAAGGAATTCTTCCCCCTTTCCCTGCCAGCTTCCATGAAAAATCTGGGAGCCCACGGAGCCGGGCCTCGGCCACCCCGGCGCGGTCACTTCTCCCGGCAGGGACGGATGAGGAGTGGTGGTGCTGCATCCTAGAAAGCCTCGGGGCGTTATCCAGCTGGGATTAAAGCAGATTCCACGGAATTGTGGTAGAAAAGAAAGGATGGCAGAGCCTGGAAAAGTTCTCCCTCGGGGATTATTTCCACGTGGCCGACTGTGGGATGGAGCGGGGCGGGATCATGTCCAGGAGATACTCGCGCTGCCGCTCCACGGCCGAGGCCGACTTGTGCACGGCCAGCGCGGGGCTGACGAAGGG